AAAACACCATAACCTAAAAACCCTATTTCTCAGTAGAGGGGTTCATGAAGGGTTTATATGATTTAGAAACTTCTAATAAACCTTGTTTTAATGTTGTTTTGTGTAATCGTTGCTCACTACTCTTCAAACATATTGCTTCATTAAGGACCAATTCCAGCCATGTTTGGTTTGGCTCAGTTTAATAAATGCCAGAAAGCTCAGTCATCTTCAACACTGACCAAATTACACGCAGCGTTGTGAGCAGGAAACACAGATTTCATATTCTCTTCAGAGGCCTGAGTGCTCCTCGCTTATTTGAGGGTTAATCATTTGTTTTAGTTTGCAGACAACACTCACCATCTCACGGGCAATGGGTCGCTGAGTTCATTGCACATCTTGGATTTGCAATGCTGATGATGATTTGACTAGTGTTGTTTGTCTAATAATTTAATATAATATAATATTAAATGCGGCTATTCTGTCCACATCATTCATATTAAATCAAGCAAACATTTGAATACAAAATGATGATTATAACATACACATTACATCATCTTTTTAAGTATATGGATTTTTCTTTTAATTATTAAAGCCTTTTAAAATATTTGTTTGTCAATTGTAAAAAAAATACAATGATAAATACCATGCAGCGCTAAAGATAAAAGATAAAGGAATGATGTTCAGCATGTGTCGACAGGAAGCCAAATATACAGGGACAAAAAGAACAGAGAAACAAGTCCAGATGTAAAGTTAGATGTCAGATTACAAGATGCAAAACTGTTATTTCTTCCTGCTGTCTGGAAATCTGTCTGCCGGTCTGATGTGGTTTTCTACTTATCCCCCCAGTCTTGCTATTTATGTTTTGTTTATTTTATTTTCAGCATGTCATGATGTACGAGCAACACGTGGCAGCGTTTTACAAGTAGAAGCCTATATGTTAGAAGTCAGAGGTACATCAAAGCTTCTCATATCACAAACTGTTTTTCTTTTTCTTTGCATTATTAAATGTTTTACTTTTTTTTGGGTCCATTTTATACAAAAAGATAAATGGGTTCTCTTTTTCATTGTGGTATCATATCTGCACAATGTTGTACACAATGTGTTAACACAAGGAATGGAGAGACTGAAAAACCCATATTGGAATCAAAGGAATGCATCAACACATTATGCAAGATGTATTGTCAACCCGAGCTTGAATTATTTCCACACACAGCCCGAATTGCAGATGACCCCTAGGTTAGCGCAATTCCAGTTGTTGTTGTTGTATCCTTCACATGGGGAAATTATGCATTTCAACATAGTGACAAAGCTTTTTATCAAAACATTTTCATAAATGGTAGCCATTAACATGATGCTACTTGTAAATAATGCTGAAAAATTGATCCATAAGCATAATAATGCTGTTCAACTTCCTGTTTAAACCAGAATAAATTACACATTGTGTGTTTCTAAGTAACTGAAGTGAAGTACGACTGCATTAGGCGGCGTTTAGTAATACAGAGCATGATGGAAATAGGACCTTCACTTCCAGCCTGCACACAATAACAGCAACAACAAGGAGAGCATTAACTCGCATATTTTAAATCAACCACCCACCTTGCCCAGCGGGGAGAGAGATTGTTTTGCCCCAAAAACCTTTCTCTCTCTCTTTCTTTCTCTGTCTCCAACTCAAACGTGTTTGCGCTGCTAAGGAGGTAATTATGTGAACGCAGCACAGATAAATGGAGCTGTACCAAATAATCAGAAAGGGAAAACTAATTTCTGGTTGATTTAGATGAGTTTTTCTGAAAAGTGTTTACATCCATTGACAGATCATTTGTTGTTTATGAACTCTTTTCAAAGTACCAAAACACCTTTTCAAACTAATTTAAACTTTACAAACTATATTGATATTTTCTGTGGTATCTTTGGTTCTGTTGAATACTGACCTATTTTCTCACGTGAACTTTCACAACTGTTCTGTCTGCATGCAAATTAAATAGCTTTTTTTAGTATAATGTAGCTATTTAACACTTATTGGAACAGGAAGTTAATTATGTCCTGTGAGATTATCATCTATTTGAGTTGTAGTAGCAGTGAGGACACCTGGACTGCACTGAGGAATGCTGGAGTCTTAACCTCTATTATTGCTTAACAAGCCACATTACAAGCTGTGGCCGAGGCTCCTTTCCCAATGCTCCCTCTCAAAGCACAACGGGGTTTTCGATATTACACTTGATCATAGTTTAATACATTTGACTCTCTCTGCCATGCTGAGGTCTGATCCTGCAGTAGCATTATTGAAGTCGAATTCAGCCTCAAAGGTCCATTAAGCATGGTCATACCTTAGTTATTAAAAAAACAAATGCAATCTACTACATAAATATTGCACGTCATCTGTGGCCGGATGGATTTCAGGCAAAGAAAGACAAATGAATGTTCTCCCCATGGAGACTGAAATGTGAGAGCAGCACTTTCTAAACATGTTTTCCCAAAAGGCCCACACAGTGCTGACTTAACAACAGCCGCCAGCCATTCACAAGAGGCTTATTAATAAGGGGATTGTGTTTTGTCAGGTCTGTTGCTGTACTTACATTTTTTTAAATTGGTAGCTTGTCAATCACAGCTTATATTTGTAGAACCTGCATGAATCTTAATGAGAGCAGGTATCAGGTAGCAAATGTCGAGTAAATTATTGTTTTCGTCAGTAACTGCTTTTTCAGCCTGCCATCTCTTTTCATTCACTTTAATGGTGGTTTATACGGGCTTGGTAAGTATTCATAATCATTAGATGCTATTGGGCATCCAACAACACGGCTATTTGTCATTGTAGCTCAAAGTAGCACAGTAACAACTTTTTTTATGCAAATAAGATAAACTCTCCACACACACAGAGTATGCTCGGTTTCAGGCAACAGCATTTTACCACAGAACTCTTCTGTTGTTTCAGCAGTAATGAGGTCTGTAGATCCTCATTTTGATTATTATCCCTTGGAGAAATATTCCTACAATATCTAACACAGCAAAAAATGGCTGTTGATAGATTTTTGCTGCACGAGCACCGGGCAGTGAAGCAAAATGCTTTGGCAGCAAAATCTCATGAAATTAGTTATTGAAGAATGGAGCGTGAGAGCAGACTTACATGAAGCATGTCATGAAAACGGCATTTCTTCTGAAGGGATTGACTTTGTTTAACTTTAAAAACAGATACACTATAAAATGTGTGTGTGTGTGTGTGTGTGTGTGTGTGTGTGTGTGTGTGTGTGTGTGTGTGTGTGTGTGTGTGTGTGTGTGTGTGTGTGTGAAACAGATTAAATCTAATGGTATCTGAGTTATTGCTTGAGGAAAAAATGGAAGCAGACTATTCTTAGCAATTGAAGATACATGAGGAAAGTGGGTCATTTATGGAGCGTATATGTGGGAATCAGTGAAAATAAGTGTTAATCTGAATAATTCGAGGGTGAAAACGCCCTGCCAGCTCAATGTATAAGTGAGGCCAAATCATAACAGGACTGTGACCATGCTGATCCAAACTGCAGTTCGCTCTGCACAATCCCACACAATCAGCACTCAGATCAGCTCTCACTCAGAGAAGAGAGTAGTGCTGTATAACAAGTGTGCTTTGTAAGTAGGTGCAGAAGTGAGTGTCATAGACTCTTCTTTTTCGCTCCCATTCCTTCTCAGACTACTCTCAAATGCCTCCAGAGTCCACATGAGACTCAGGTGGATGATGAAACTCTCCAGACTGTCATTTAAAATCCCAAACTTTAAAGAGCAAGCCAGGATCAGAGGGATGTGATGAGAGAAAGCTGCTTTTGTTGAAACCAATGTGTCTGAAATAATTGTTAGAAATTAGCAAGTTCATTAAATAGGTAAAAGAAAAAGGAGACATGCTTTCTTTCAAGTCAGGCACACAAGAATGAATGAAGTCTCTCTCTGAATCCCAAGCTGCTATTTTACACACAGAGACAGAGCAGTTATTTATTTGATGTGTGCTTTCGTCATTCTTGTAAAGCACTCTTCAAAGTCTGTCGCCTTAAAAGAGTCAGACTTTGTTCTCTGATGAAATCATCAGACTTCAAGGAGTCAACATTTCAAACGCATGATAAATTGTTACAGTGCAGCAGAGTAAACAGCACATATTCACACATTCAACAACACCTTCTGAATGTGCATTCTCTCCCACTTAAACACGAATACACACCTAACACTACGCCACACACACACACACACACACACACACACACACACACAACCTTTGACACACACACACACACACACACACACACAACACATGCTCTCTGACGGACATCAACACACTTCAAGGATCAACATTTTCAAACACATGACACTTGCTACAGTGCAACACAGTAAACAGCACATATTCACACATTCACAAACAACACCTTCTTGAATGTGCATTCACACACAACTTAAACACGACACACACTAACATACACACACCACACACACAACACACACACACACACACACACACACCATCTTTGAAGAACAACGTTCCAGGTGCTGAGTGAGGATTATTGAATCATTGTGTCTAGTGTCTGTGTTGTATTATCGTGTCCCATTTACCACTTATATAAGAAGACGACATGGCATTTTTTAACATAATAAGCAAACATTTGTCCTACTCTGTAAATACGATTTGTTTTCACGGCCAGGCACAACAGTTGTCCTTTGCTCTCAGCTGTTGTTTAACAACAAAGACATGACCAGCGAAAGGATGAGAATTACACCTGATCTGCGAAAACCCTTGCGAAACGTCTTAACAGTTAATAATGATTAGGGTTAAAACACCAACTCTGACATGCATTGTACGAACATGACTGGAAATTCAACTCAGTCAGGACGACTGATCATCGGAAATGTGGTCACATTCCATGCAAAATGAGACACCGAGAACTGGTTTCTGACTAGTCTGGAACTGGTTGCTTGGTACCTAGAGCTGACCCTTTGGGTACATTACATGATACTTGTTAGACGCTTTTATCCAAAGCGACTTACATATTCAATACTGTGGACAATCCCCACAGGATCAACTTGGGGTGAAGTGTCTTGCCCAGGGACACAACGACATGCTGACTGCAGTGGGATTTGAACCCGAACACCTACTCTGAACCCACTGCCCCACACACCTCTGGATCTTTTGGATTCAAATATTGTGTCTATAGCCCAGACACATTAAGTCATGTAGTTATCCTTAATTAGGTATTACTCTAAGGCCGTGTGGTATTAATAACAATTCTTTGCAATTGCCATTTTTTATGGATGTTCGTCTTATTTTGGCAATGTGCACAACCAATGGGGACCCACTCGTAAAAAGCAATTCTCCATAGTGCCACTAGTGGTCAAAAACTCAATTACAGAATCACACTACATTGCATGCTGTGTTAGTGTAGTTCATCATTAAATGAGTTTCAAAGTTCATTGTAGATGGTTGCTGACTCAGTTGGAAGAAAATCAAGCATCGATGAAAATCTCATACTACTAGCTCATGTAATGTATCCTGGCTATTCTAATGATAGATCAATTATTAACAAGAACTGGCTTTTATTCCAAGGCATTATAAAATATGTTTTCTCGTCTGACGATATTGTCAAAATACAGATCTAAGTAAATATTGTTGGTTTGACTACAGTGGAGTGCTGTTGCACCTCTCCAACCCTTTCAATTTGAACACCTTCACACCTGGTCTGCTCTCGTCCAGGTAGTCCAGTACTGGGTTGTCATAAGCCAGTTGTGCCTTCCTCTGGGCCGATTCTTCCTGTGTGTTGACAGAGGTCTTCGGAGTTGATGTATGCTCCTCTTCTTCTTCTTCTCCCTGTCCCTCCTCGCAACGACAGGCAGTTGCCTTGGTGATGAGGTGATCGAGGGGTTTGAGAGAGCGCATCCACTGGGGCAGGAAGTCCCAGCTCTGCAGCTTAGTGGGCAGGTGGCGAGGAGTACGGGCCTGCATCGCATTAATCATGGAGATGAAGATGGTCAAACACAGGAACGGAGCCCCAACGCCGGCCATCACTTGCCAGCCTGCCAACGAGAGGCCCAGAACCAGCGAGGGCAGGAGCACGAAGCACAGGAGGAGGTAAAGGACTGCAAACCAGCGGTACTTGGCAGTGCGCTCACCAAGGACACGCGCCATCCTTATGGGCAGGCGCGTGAAGGGGAGAGGATACCACAGCATTATGCCAAAGACGTTGAAGAAGAGGTGACACAGAGCGATCTACATACAAAGACAATGCAAATAGATGCAGTATGTGAGGGCTGAAGATGCCAACATTCATTCCAAATACATAATCCAATGATACCAGATGGTTTTAGTGTTGGCAGTTGAATCCGAAGGGAGGATTTACCAACAATTGTTTTCCCTGAAGCACATTTAGCTGCCTTCGGCTTATTTGTGCAGAAATCATGTTCATAAATATAGAGACTAGTATTATTATAATGTACCATTTGTAGATGATTATCTGTAACACCAATGGTTTTGTCCGGGTAGGGGAAAAATATATTCTGTGTGTCTATCCTCCTCTCTGTGACGCCTATCAGAATTCATGAAAAAGTTTTCTTCAAGGTGGGAGGGTGTTGGTAGTGGGACCTTCACATTATTGTTTTCATTTCCCTGCAGTTTTCAAAATACCTGTTTTATCCATTGACTGTATAAAATATTGACGCAATCTTTGTGATGTACCCCATAGGTTTATGAAAAGCCGTACTGAAGCTCAAAGTGGAAGGGTTGACTTCGCCTGACAACTCTAATTAAAAATGGGCAAAGAGGTGGATAGTCTTTAGAGATTTGTCGACTCACAACCTGTGACAGCACCAATATGTCAAAACTCTCATGCCCTTAAATATAAGTCACTTCAAGCCTTGATTTGATTTAAACCAATGAGATATATCCCTTGTACAGTTAGCAGTAGAGACCCACCGTACTACACTTTAAAACTACTGCACTTTAGAATTGTACTTTTTTGCTGTTGGGCATTTTACCATGGGAGCCAATGGAGATGGACTACATTCTTAACCCTGTCTCAAGAGGACATTTTAGGATATTCATTTTAGGCACTTCCTCTTTGTTTTTTCGGCACAGGAGGCTCCTGTTTGGTTGTACACTGGCTTACCTGTATGGCAGCTGCTAACTTGTTCCCAGGACTGGCCAGAGCTGCCAGCAGAGCGGTGGCCGTGGTGCCGATGTTGGACCCGAGGGTGAGGGGATAGGCCCGCTCGAGGCTGATCACACCGATACCTGAGGGAGACGACAGAAGAATGCTGTGTCAGAGGAAAAAGGGACTTTCAATTAAGATGAAAAGCTCATAATATATACAACTTAAATAAACGATACTGTCTATCACCTGATGTTAGAACAATGGCTTATGTTAGGGTCTCACAAAACAAAATAAAACATACAACTTTGAAGGACTCCCTTACAAATAGGCTATTTGAACACAAACAACTCCATAAATAAATACCAGCAGGTGTGCAAAGCTGCAATAAAGTGTCTATCTTGCCTTGTTGAAGATGGATATTGCAGTCGGAATGAAAGTTTAAGTGATATTTTCTTTTACCCTAAGAGGCGTTTTTTTTGTTTGTTTTCAATGCATGATACTAGGGGATGGTAAGCCCGAGAGTTGGAGTGCAGGGAAAGCTACATTTAAATAAACGAAGTCAAATAAACAGAATTACCTAATTAAATATCTCTGAAGGTTGGATGACATCCATGAATATAGTCTTTTGCCTTATAGTTATTTAAAGCTTCTCAATTACTCCCGTTTAAAATGAGACATGATTCCCATCTTACATTTATCACTGAGTAGCAGGCCGATGACTCAGACATCACTGATTTGACATGCTTCATTTAGCCAGCGGCATACACTGACAGTTGTGCAATATGTTCTTCCAAACTTCACAGGACTCACAGGACTTATTTCAGTGGAAATAAGCAGGTTTATGTCCTTATTTGGCCCCAGCTGAAACATTAGCTATAAGCTAACAAGAAATCTTAAGATATTCTCTTGACCGTATGAGATGACACTCATTTTAGTTAGCAAATAAGTACAAGAACAATGTACAGTTAACAATTTATTACTGCAGCAGTAAATGTCTGTTCAGAGGTTGTGGTGTTTGAATTTATAATTTTGTGTAAAAAGCAGTGGCCTTGCAAACAGCAGCCCAGTTTACGAGCTGCTATAGATTACAGTGGGGTTTCTTCGTGGTTTGATTGGCAGTAAATGTACATGCTGTTATGGCCGGTCGTTATCACTCTGGCACAACAACATTAAAACAAAGAATTCACTTGATATATCTTTGTTAAATATTAAGTCATTTAACCTCAATCCATCAAACTAAATTACTATCAACTAATACTAGAAGCAGACTCCAGGACAGTATCATCATTGAGAGTATTTTTTGCACAGGGCCGAACGGAGAATAGGATCTCAAACTCGGACAGTTAGAATCCATTTTAATAAGATGATTAACAAGAGACTTTCTGTAACAAATGAGAAACAACTTGAAGAAGAAACTCCAACCTTCAAACTAGGTAGATGCTGGGATCGGCCCTGGACTTTAAAGCCCAGTTTATCCAAGCCTACAGGAAAAGTACTTTGTATGGATGGTATATATAATGTGTTTTGTAATCCAATTGTCTACAGAGCAATATCCTTTAATCCTACGCACAGGAGGCACATATGCATAATGTGTCCCGCTGGCATTAGTCACATTACCTTTGTTTAACTATACTATACTCACAAAGAACATGTAAATGAAAGACTGAAGTGTATAAAGAATAAGAAAAATCAATACAATGATATGAGAATTATAAAGTTACTCATTTAGATTTTGGATATGCTGACGTAGAACCACAAATTACCCGTCAGGATGCTACAATTAAATTGATTATAATTCATAATACTCATTGCATCCATTTATTCATCATCCTTCAAAGCAACATCTGCTTACAATTAAAGCATTGCGTTGATTGATGTCATCATAAGTTTGATATGTCTAATACAGGAAAATAACAGAAAATACTATAAAATTCTGTAAGTATGGCTATATCGAAGACCTCATAGTAGGGGTTTTTACACATTTCTAATATATATTTAATATTTATTTATTTTGAGGGAACATATATATTCATGGTGCACGGCTCATTTAATCCATTTCAAATGGACGGCCAATAATTGCTATATTAACCCAAATACATAGTTTTTTCTATGCTCGACTTATTTCCACAACAACCTTTTATTTTTGTATGATATTTTCACATAATATAGTATAAACAAACAACTCTGAGGCTTTCATTGGTGGTGTAAAAGCTTATTTCACCCACCTATAAGAGGAGTCAAGGCTGAAGTGAAGACAGAGCTACTCTGGACCACAAAAGTTATCCCTGCGCCCACAAACATGGCCATGTATCCTGACAGCCACCCACACGGATATGGCAGGTCTGTTGAGATAAAGAACAGAGGGATGACAATTACCCACGATAAACACATCAATATTAGTCTTCTCCACCACCTCTCTCATGTCAAAAGCATGCCCACCTGTGTTGATGACTTTGTGGATGACCTTTGCGACCTGGCCTTTAAGAAGAGAGTTTAGCAGTTTGACCAGAAGCAGCAGACAGGTGCAGAGGACGGCCAGAGAGCCTGCGAGGAGGATCAGACCCACGGTGAGGTCTGACAGCCCCGTGGACACAAACAGATGCTTACCTGCAGGAGGACAGGTCCAACAAACATCAATAGATTATTACAAAAACACACCGTTGTATTGCCTTCTTAACAGGGAAATACTGAAAGGGAAATGCTTACTAGAAAAACATTACAATAATGAGAGAACTCACATTTCAGTGGTGATTGGGATAAGTCATGCCTGGAGCCACAGTTTGCAGCGCTCACATTGCCAGTGGACTGTAGACGGAAAGAAAGAAAGAAAGAAGAAAGAGCATCTGTGATGAAAACACAAATTAGCAACGCAGTTTTCACTGGCAGCAGTGTCAGTCTGTATGTGGCGCCACTGTGTGACACATTGTGTCTGCATGTGCAGGGGACAGCAGTGGAAACGGGGCCATTACCATAACCAGGTCAGTCTGGCACCATTCTTTCACCAGGCTCCTGTTCCTCATGTCCTCATTTCCCATGGCGATTCCCGTGATCACACATTTGTCTAGCTGAGGGAGAAAGGAGAAATATTTTCCATCTTTTAAATTCTGTGAGTCAAAGGAAAGCAACATTTATTATTCATCCACCAATCCTTCAGTCCTTCAAGGAGACACCTCATATCTAGTTCCCATCACAGCTGTCTAACGCACTGTTTGTTAAACTTCGCCCGCCATAGTTACTTCTGAGATGTTCATTAAACGTTTCCAGCATCAAGCACAAACATAATAACAATAAAAACAGCATCAGTCAGAGTCACTGCTCAGAATTTGTGGAAATGTTGAAAGAATGGTTTCTTGATGTAAGACAAAGGAAGCCTCTGATTTAGCTGCAAATAAAGAATTTGCTAACAAAAATTGTTTCAAACAGACTCCCTTCAGCTGGCTTTTTTGTGTTTCCAGCACACCTGTTTTAAAATGATAATTTTGTGAGAGACAGCCATAGGCGGCGCGTGAGGCTCAGGTTTGGGAAGGCTAAATAACTTTTTTTACCTGACGCTGCCCACCTCCGGCATCTATTGAAAAGAGATCAACTCAATGAAACCCCCGCCTGCTGACCAATCAGAGCTCAGTGTGCGGAGTTTATATATATTAAGTCATATTACAGGATAAAGGAAATACAGTTTGAACTGCCGTAGCAAGACACCGACATGTCGCACTTGTCATTCATATCACATCATCAATCAGATCATCGATCATATAATATCACAATATTTCCTTATCTGAGTCAGCTTCTCGAGCCGTATCTGGCCGTGCATCACTTACATTGTCACATACTGTATGCAGCAGTATTATTTTAAGCAACACATTAAGTTGACGAAACACTCAAATGTAATTAAAGTCATATCCACTCGTGTCTGGCGCAGTGATATCATAAAACTGTTGATTATTTATTTTTTAACGAGTTGTTATTCACCTTGCAGGTGGCTTGTATCCTGGATTGTATGTTTAAGTCATGGATGTTTAAAGTTCATATTTGTCTAATATTAGTTTACTTTTCATTATGAAGTATGACGCTGCGCTGTCAATACACTTGTCCCTGTTTGTGATTGGTCAAATGTAGCTAACCCCGCCCCTTTCACGTGAGCGCGCTCTCAGCTGGAGGGAGGCTTGATTTACCGAGTTGATAACCAGCGTCGTAGGACCGCTTAGCGAGATCTTGTGTTTGTGTTTGTTTGCTGTCGACTGGAACTTTTTCTCTTTTTTTAAATAAAATATTTTATAACAGTAGGTTTATGTGTTTTTTGTTTTTGTTTTTGCAGGTAAGTACCCGAAAGTATTCCTAAATTTTGAACCACTTTTGGTGTACGTCGCAAATAGGTCAGACATTTGACTGTAACATATTCTGCGGTTACCGATTCTTTCCGTAAGCCGAAATTGATGTGTTTAAACGCTTCTTTAGTTTGCGTTTCTGTTCCGGTTAGACAGGCGAACTACAGAGCTACGAAAGTAGAACATATATTTTGTTCTACTTGTAGTACATGTATTGATATTTTTTGTTACACGTTTTTTGTTTGTGTATTTTTTATGTGGACTTAACCGAAAACACGAACAGAAAGGAAGAACTTGCTCTTGTGTTCAAAACCAGACGCTAGCGTCGGAGCACAAAACAAGCGAAAGCACCATTTTCTTATTTGTTATTTTTTTTTCAGTTATGTTTACTTACCTCAACGTAAAAGAAGTCTCCGTTCCTAGAAATGTAACGTTCATCTCGTTACGTCTTTCATTTTAACGAATTATAGGAGCTGAGTTACAAAGTCCCTTATCATTAAAATTGTTGTTTACATAATAGTTCAAAAAGGATCTAATAAACAATATATCATGTCTACAACATACAAAAAAAGTCTGTTTACCGAAGGACCGGAAACGTTAGTTTGTACCAAAAGGTTTTAGTTCCACGTGCTGTTCAAAATCGAATAAAGGGTGGCTTAACAAAAAAGTTCACAAACTTATTTAATTACTGTAAATCGGGGAGAAACAATTAAATTTATTGGAGACAAAGTGAAGGGAAGGCATCGCGCAATCAACGACAACTTTTGTTATAACTTTAATAAATAGTACATTTAAGTGTTTTTTTTATAAGTTTGAATGACCGAGATCGTTGGTAGGTAGTTCACACAAAAAGTCGTGGTATTTATTCTGTTTTGTTATTCATATCCGTTTCATCCGCGTGACGGAGAATTCTTTTACCGTATGCGATAAATCTTATTAACTTAACTTTTGTCAAAAAGATTCGTTATATTTTTGTTGTTCACAAACACAACAACACACACACACCACAACAACCACACACACACCAAACACACCAAACTACCAACACACACAGTGCGTTACACAATTAAACTCTCTAAAAAATACGTTGACGGACTTGTTGTTTGTCTTTCGGGCCGCAAAAAAACAGGTAGACATGTGTCCTGCTACCCTCTTTGAATTGTTCGGTCGTCACCCAGGTGAACCTTCTCTGGTCGCGATGATGACCCTTTAGACCAGAAACGGCTTCTCAATCGTCTCCTTCCCGCCTTGTTTAGCCGGTAAACAAAAACAACAACAAGCAACACGTCGAAACACTTCCCCAAAAAAAAAGGGCGCCGCCAAACCCTGCTTTGAAAAATGAGGTAACCTGCGTTTGCTTGCTACTGCGTCGTGGTCAGCCCTCGAGACCGACACCACTTCTTCGGCCTCGAATGTCTCGCCATCTCCTGGGCCAAAGACTCCTGGACTACTTCAGGATCGGGTGAGTCGTGTATCGTGAAATTTGGCCTCATACATACCACACTCGACTCCATATACACTCGAAGTACATTGTCATAATGTAGATATCGGATTATCCGTAAATTTAACTTTGAGTATCAAGGGACCGCAAAAAAAGTCAGCAAAAGACCTTATCCCCAACTGATAACCGTACTGAATCCGCTCCAGCAATAATAGACAAAAATTAGTTCAACCATTGACTAGATATACGAATGAATTCTGTATTAACTCTAAAATGTAATGTAAACTGGGGACTAAGTATTTCCATGTAAATTGTACTAAAGTGTCGAAATTCTACAATGACGTGTATAAAATACCACATTTTACAAAAAGTGCGTTATGTTAACTCTTGTAGTAGCAAAATCAAAAAAATTCTCACGTATATCCGTTCTGTGTGTCGACCCGAAACCCGGCCGCCTTCCGTCTTGAAATAGACTTTAGTGAGCGTTCTAATGTCTTAGGTAGGTTTATTTGATGTTGTCGGTGGAAATGTGTGTTCCACCGTAATAATGATATATAATAGGTAGAAAGCGGCGCTCTGACAACTCCTCGGCATAAAGGCCGTTCGTGACCGCGCTGTACACGTCTGTGGTGTATAAACAACCGGCCGCGCGCAAACACAATGTGCAGTCGCGGCCGTAGCGGGTAGATATAGTAGTGTGTTGCCCCGTCCCGTAATACGACCGTAACGAGCAATCATAATGCTTTCATCTTGCATACCGCCTAGAAGAAATGGATGTCCGTAAAACGACTTATTGTTCACATTTTTCCTGCGAATTTTATTTGTCCGATGATTACGATGTGTCTGTCGACCAAACCAATCCAATGGAACTTTCGTTGTAGACGCCTGTATCCGTCCAGCACGATTAGAAAACGATGAAAAATGAGGCTCATTTTGCAATCGAATGTGAAGTGGGACCAACTCGACACAAGCGTGAGTACCGCACACATCCTTCGCCTGTCTCTTTGATCGATCTGAAATGCTGTCGTACCAAACGTTCCAGCAACTCGTCATAAATCTATTATTGTGCGATTATTTCAACATTAACGTGTTTCTGGTGCCCAGTTATATTAAAGTAATTGCGAAACGATCGACCGATGAATTGGTCCTAAAAATCCCTCAAAAGGACCACGAGATGCAGTCCCCCAAAAAGAAAACGAACCAAACGGTGTTACACCCGCCGTCTAAAGGGTACTCGTGTGACATAAACCCCCGCGCTAACAATTACCCCAGGTGAGTAATGCAAATTCACCATTAAATGAGGTTACAGAATTCAACAACAAAAACAATTTCTACTTCTATACTAACTGAAACCTTTAACTTCATTATTAAAAGACAAGGAACTTGACTATTCATATTAATCGGTTTAAGAGTTTATAAAAACTGACTTTACATTCGGGTTTATATAATTCCTCTATAGAATTTTTATATTAAACAATCAGTTTTATGAGTACAAAAAAGCACATTAGTTGAATTTATATTCATTATTAAAATGTGTTTTAATTGACAACCTAAAAACTTCGTAAATAACGAACCATACAGGTGAGTTTGTTAATGAACACTATAAATCTCTAGAATAATTCTCATTAATCGAAAATAATAGTAACCTCTTTAAGATGTTTCCCGGTGACCTTAAGCAACAAATCTCAACACACTATACCGCTGATGTGTCTCGTAGCCTAAGTGAAAAACGGTCCCTGTACCGTCGCGTTCAAACTATTTACAGGGGCCCCGCCGCCATGACATCCCGATCCTTCCGATTCGGAAGGTTTTATAAAAACCACAGTGACGTAGACCAATTTTTATTTTTAATATATTCAAACACAGAAACTGTAATCCGTGACGATCGTCCGGTGGACAAGCGGACATGAATGGCTTCGGTCAAGTGGTCTGCGTACCTATTACAAAACTCAATAGAGATTGATTTGG